GGTTGCAATAATGCCCTGGAAGAAAATTGTGTGGGCGTCAAAGCTTTCCAGTGCTAAAGCTGTTAACGAGAGAGGCTGTCCCAGGGGTTAGGGTTCTAGCCTGGAACGTGGGTTGGATTCGCTGCTTTACCACATGCCTAGTGCCTCGCTGATACTGCACTACGGGGGCTAGCTAATTACTTTAGCTAGATACAGGGCTTGTCCATTGATTCATTTTTTTTATCTGTACATCTTAAGCATTTCATTGGAGGCTAGACACCAACTTTGGCGCAATCAGCATGATAATCAAAGTTTCCATTAATCTGCCCAGCCAGTGTTAGGGCATGTCTTCAATACACCGAAGATCGCCGCTGCCATGATCGATCGTCTGGAGTTTGATATAGCGAGTCTAGTTAAGACTCGCTAAATCAAGCTCAGAGGGCATCCTCACCAGCATCCAGTATTCATCCTTTTGGGATGGAGTTGCTATGTGGCTGGAGTTGCGTACCTGAACCTGACCTCCTAGGGCTAGTATAGATCTGGCCTTACACAGCTCTGCACTGTAGAGGGAATTACCAGACCTTTACCTTACTCTGTCTAAACCAGTATAATGCCCCTGCCAATGTGCAGTACCAAATGCCTCAGAGGAAAGTATTAGAACTCCCCAGGGGCAGAGGTGGAATCATGAGGTTGTGGAGGCCAAGAATTTAGCACAATTCATAGAGGACTTGGATGTTTGGATGAATAACAAGAATAAAAGCCCCGGAATGCATGGCTAGAGCTAGGTGAGAAACACTGCCCCTTTCTGTGAGATTTTCAGAGATTTTGAAGATTTAACCCAACCCAAATCCGAGTAAAAACCCTTGCAAGCTGGAAATTGGGGAGGGGGGGAGGGACGGAGAACAAATTCAGATCAGGTCAATCAAAATGTTTTGATAATTTATAAAACAACTTGTTTCCATTTTGATTTTTTTTACTGGAAATTGACTTAAATTTCAAAACAGAAGTCCATATAAAAACATTTGGAAAATTTTCACTTTAAAAATGTCAAAATGGGATTTTTTGAGTATTTTAAACTTTTTCTCATAACTTTTCTTTTGAAATGTCAAATTATCAAAAGTGGCTCTTTCTGGGAACAGCTTTCGTTTTGAAAAACGGGCATTTTCTAATGAAAAATCTTGTAAAAGAAAAATTCCAAACTAGCTGTGCTAGTAATTGTGTTAAGCATTCATGAATGAGCTGTTAGATCCCTTCTAAACCTTTAATATTTACTATTAGAAGATTTACCTAGCATTGCTCGGGTCCTTAACTCAAATAAGCTTTGTTTAAATCATTGCTCTGAGATGGGGCTGGTGATGAGGGGTTCAGGATGGAGGCTTCCCCGGGGAGACAGAACTACCCCAGCCTTCGCTCACCACAGCAGCTTAGGCCAGGTGAGAAGCACCTGTCAATGACCACTGCATCTGCTGGGGAAGGAGTGCATGTCCGGTAGATGGGGGACAGACAGACACACAGACAGACTCTCTGAAATATATAGTAGACTGCCTCCTGCTGGCCCAATGGGGTTATAGCTGTCCTGGTCACCATCTCTGGCCCCTTGCTACCCCCTTCTGGTCATTCTACAGTATAACTCCCTCCTACCAGATCCCACCCTTTCCATTTTATGAGAAACAATCAAATTCCAGGCACATCCCATTATTTTGGCACAAGCAAACACCAACTTTGGTGGTCCTAGCTCTTACCATTTAGGAGGAGTTCTTGAGCAAACAGACTCGCGTATGGACAGATAGATGCACATTTTTAAAATATATAATAAAGCTTATAAACACTGGATATTCTTGTTATCCATCCAAACATCCAAGTCCTCTATGAATTGTGCTAAATTCTTGGCCTCCACAACCTCATGTGGCAATGAGTTCCACAGATGATGCATCCATTGTATGAAAATATATTTCCTTTGATCAGCGTTGGATTGGCTACTTTGCATGTCCCCTTGTTTTTGCATTATGAAATGTACAGAATAATTATAAGTGACAGACTCTCCTATAGTCCATTCCAATCACTGTAGCCATACAATGAGTACTTGCTTTGTGCAGAACCTGCCAGGGTTGACTCTCAGCAGTTCATAATCCCAGCACTCTGGACTTGCTACGTCAGTAAAAAAAAAAAAAAGTTACTTGAACCCTGGCACTTCATCCATTACAAATTAAGACCTGCATATGGTGCTCTGGAGTTTTGTAAGACAATAAATCTGTTAAAACCTAACCACAGAACCATTTTATTCCATGAGGAAGGAGTCAGACCAGCATACCTGGGTGAGCCTGAACCATCAGCCAGTTACATAACACACTAGACCAGTGAGATTTTCATCTGAAGGAGGAAAACGTGGTGGGGGAAAGAGGGGTGGGTGGGAAAGGAATGAGCAGTTTATGCCTATAGGAAATCCCATCAGCTAGGTCCTAAAAGACTATTCAGTTCTGTGGCTGGGCCATTTCCCCCCTTTTATTTAAGGAAAAGTCCTATATTTTTTCACCTGAAATGCATGTAGTGTCATTTAATAGATCTATCCTCCGTTGCACATGGCCAGAACTCTCCAATCTGCAGCCATGAAATCTGATCAAAACAAAGCGAATAGCTGGAGAGTCTGAATCACAAATCAATCTGGCCAGAATTAAGTATCGATTTTTTTTTCCTGGGCAGCTACTTTACTGTAATTGGCGTCCTCCTCCCTCCCAACCCTTTAAAACACTCTTGATCTAAAAGGCTAATCAGCAGGGCATATCACGTCAGGAATTCCACCTTTGCTTCCCCCCCGCCCCTCATCTCTCTGTCTTTAAACTTCCTTTGTGTGTTAACCTTAGGGACTGGAGAAGGGTTCTATTGACTCCAGTATGTTGTGCCCTTCTCTCCCCACCCGGAGCCAAGGATACGGTGATATTGAGCAACACATTTCTGGATCCTGACAAATATTTTCAGACCAGAGTTCCAAAGCAGCCAGCCAGCAAGCAGCAGTGTAGTCTAGACACACCATGTTCAGCGGTAGGAGACAGGGGCTTCTAAGCTCTACTACCGGCTTGTTGAGCCATGTCCCCGTGGTTACTCTGTGATCACAATGGGGTCGCCTGGTCAGAGCCCTGCTGTGCTGGAGACTGCACCCCACCTAGAGGTGGTCTCTGCCCCAAAGAGCTTACAAGTTAAATAAACAAGACAAAAGCTGGGCCAGAGGAGTATTCTCCCCATTTCACAGATGGGAACCAGAGGCCCGCGGTCACACATGGACCCCCAGAGCAGAGCTGGGAATTGAAGTCAGTTCTCCTGAGTTTGCCCTAGGCCAGTGGTCTTCAAAAGTTTTTTTTCTCATGACCCAGTTGAAGAAAATTGTTGATGCCGCGACCCAACATAACGTGACTGGGGTATGGCTCCGGAGTGGGGCTGAGGGTGAGAACTTTGGGCTGTAGGAGGGGATCCAGCTTTGGGTGGGTCCAGACTGGGGCAGAAGGGGCTTATTTTGAGCGACTCCTGGTCAGGGGTGCAGCGGGGATGCTAAGGCAGCTTCCTGCGTCCTGGCACTGCAGCCAATGGTGCGCCCCAGAAGCAGCCAGCAGCAGGTTCCCAGCCAATGGGAGTGCGGAGATAGTGCCCAGGGCAGGGGCAGTGCACAGAACCTTGTGTGCTCCCCCACCCCCCACCTAGGAGCCGGGCCTAGGACAGTCAGGATGTGCTCACCTGATCCCCCTGCAGCAACGAGACCCAGCGCCTGACATTCCACGGCCCAGTGCTGGGTCACGCCCCCTAGTTTGAAAAGCACCGTCCTATGCTGTGAACCCCAGACTAGCCTTCCTCTCTGCCTCAGTTTCCCCCCTAAAGAGTGAGAATAACGATTCTTACTGCCCCTGCCTCCCCAGAGGCTTGTGAAGTGTGACGAACGGACCTGTGAACAGCCAGTGGGGTGAACATGTAGAGTTGTGCCGCTGCAAAGTGCCAGTATTAACAAGGAAGCCTGAGCCTCTAGTGTGCTTGTGTCTGTGTATGCCGAATGCATGGCTATGGGTACGAAAAGCGGCTCTTGGGTTCCGCAAACGTAATTTTTCGCTGGGAGGAGGTCTAGGTTGGATATTAGGAAAAACTATTTCTCTAGGAGGGTAGGGAAGCACTGGGATGGGTTATTTAGGGAGGGGGTGGAATCTCCATCCCTAGAGGTTTTTACGTCCCGGCTTGACAAAGCCCTGGCTGGGATGATTGAGTTGGGGTTGATCCTGCTTTGGGCAGGGGGCTGGACTTGATGACTCCTGAGATCTCTTCCAGCCCTTGGATTCTATGGTTCTATGATTTTTTAGAATGGAATACGTGTCGACAAGGAGAAAGTCAAGGATCCCGATGGGGGCTCTGGACATCCGGCTTCCACTCCTCGCTCTACCACAGGCTCCTGCAGGTGGCAAAGGATTTAGCCCAAACCTAGCCGTAATGTAGACAGAACTCCGCTCCCGTGGGGAGCCTAGAGTGGGTAAATGCCGATTCCAGTGCGGCGGCTACCCCCAGAGCAAGCTACTGCTAGACATGTGTGAAAGCGACAAAGACTCCCTCACTATTTGGCATCAGAGACCAAAATGAAAGGGCAGAAAGAAAAGCGAGAGAAAAAGGGGCCTTGGAGTCGGCGGGGCTGAGGTCTGACGAGGCGTGTGCTGGCGCGTGGGGTTTGTGTAGGGGGGTTGGAGTATGTGTGTAATGCTCAACAGCGGGCCTGAGGGGGTGCATCAGCTGTCTGTGCACATTCATATATGCGTGAGCAAGTGTAGGGGATTGTGTAGGAGAGAAACTGGTTTCTTTCAACTCCGAGACCACGAGTCTTCCATTCCTGCAGAGAGAGGAGGGGGACGACGCTGCCTTTGATCAAAGCAGATTCATATAATTACGATATTAGCAGCCCCGCACTCTCTTCCCCGACTCGTTACCCTAATGGCAATTATTATACTTATTACCGCCTCAGCCGCCGATGCTTATTGATTCTGCCAATGCAGTGTTTTTAATGAGGGATCTGAAACGTGTTATTATTGGTTCCACGGGGGTCACCATTGTTCAAACAAGGGCAGGAAGACAAAGGAACAATAAAAAGAACAAAAGTGAAAGGCAAGGCAGACACAATCCCAAATACAAAGGGAACCCATTTGCAGCACAGCCTGCTGACAAGGAGCGAGGCGGTCACCTCGCTGGGAGGAGACAAGCCCAAGACTTTAGTTTTCTGCCTCCAAAAAGTCGGATCGATTGGGTTTGTGTTGTTCAGTTTTATCGGCGCGCCCCTGTGCCTCCTGGTTTCAAATAAAGAGAGCACTGCACTTCACGTCAGGAGACTTGGGACTTTTCAGCTGGGGAAAGAGACAACTTCGGGGGGCATGGGACTGATCTATAAAATCATGACCTGTGTGGAGACAGTGAATAAGGAAGAGTTATTTACTTCTCATAACACTAGGCAGCAGGTTTAAGAGAAACAACGAGGAACAATTTCTTCACCCAACACAGTTAACCTGTGGAACTCCTTGCCAGAGGATGTTGTGAAGACTATAACAAGGTTCAAAGAAGAACTAGATAAGTTCATGGAGAATAGGTCTATCAACACTATTGGCCAGTTTGGGTTGGGGTGGTTTCCCAAGCCTCTGTTTGTCAGGAGCGGGAAATGGATGACAGGAGAGGGATCACCTGTTCTGTTCAGTCCCTCTGAAACACCTGGCATTGGCCCCTGTCGGCAGACAGGATACTGGGCTAGAGCAGTGGTCACCAACCAGTAGATCGGGATGTACCAGTATTTCTTGAAGCCTCTGACAGGTGATCTTGACTGGTTTGGCCAAGAGGTTATCAAGTGCCGGCACTTCAGCTGCCCCTCCCTGCATTGCTGCACATCTCCTGCCCTTTGCCTTGGAGCTGCCTCCCTCTCCTGCCTGGGAGCTTCCTGCTTGTGGTGCAGATTAGGGAAGGGAGAGGAGGGGGTGCTGTTGTCAGGGTGCCCCCGTATTCTATCTCCACAGAATGGGAGTGGGAGAGAGCACAACAGGGCTTGGGATGGAGGGAGTTTGCAGTCTGCTTTTGAGAGTGGTGCAGGGCCAGGGCAGGGGTGAGCCGGCCTTAGCCCCACTGCACCACCACCCAGGAGCCACCTGAGGTAAGCAATGTCCATCTGGACCCAGCTCTGAACTCCTGCCCCATTTATGAACCTCCTCCTGCACCCCAAGCCTCCTGGACCCAAACTCCCTTACAGAGCCTGAACCCCCTCCTGAAACCCAACTCCCTGCCCCAGGCTCGGCTCAGAGCCCTTCACATTCCAAACCCCTTAGCCCAAGACCAGAGCCTGAGCCTCAACCCTCTGCCGCTGCCTGGTGAAAGGGAGGGAGAATGGGGGAGGGAAGAAGGAAGGACGGAGTGAGCAGGGGCAGGGCCTGAGAGAAGGGGCATGAAGAACGCAGGACAGGGGTATTTGGGTCTGAGGTAGACCTTATATTGCACTTCAATTCAAAAAGTGATTGTGTACTTAAAAAGGTTGGAGACCCCTGGGCAAGGGAGGTCTTTGGTCTGACCCAGTGTGGCCGTTCTTCCGGGTTCTAGTCCCAGTTCTATCGCTGATCAGCAGGGGCGCTTTGGGCAAGGCCCTGTGCCTCCGTTTCCCCTCCCTCTGTTTTGTTTATTTAGTTTGCAAGATGTTCAGCACAGTGGGGCTGCGTCTAGACTGGCATGATTTTGCGGAAATACTTTTAACAGAAAACCTTTTCTGTTAAAAGTATTTCCGCAAAAGAGCGTCTAGATTGGCACGGATGCTTTTGCGCAAAAGCATCCGGGCCCAGTATAGACGCACTTTTGCGCAAGAAAGCTCCGATGGCCATTTTAGCCATCGGGCTTTCTTGCGCAAAAAATTAAGGTGCCTGTCTACACTGGCCCTCTTGCGCAAGTATTCTTGCACAAGAGGGCTTATCCCTGAGCGGGAGCGTCAAAGTATTTGCGCAAGAAGCACTGAATTCTTACATTAGAACATCAGTGCTCTTGCGCAAATTCTCACGGCCAGTGTAAACAGGCGGCAAGTTTTTCCGCAAAAGCGGTCGCTTTTGTGCAAAATCTTGCCAGTCTAGACGCACCCTGGGTGTGCAGAGCACGAAGGGGCCTGATCTCTGTTGGGGCTCCGAGGTATTACAGGCCTGCAAACAATCACAGACTGTTGAAGGGGACAAGCGACGCAATGTTCCATCAGACCTGGGGAGTGTTTGCTCTCCTTCTGGGAGGAACTCCAGCAAAATCAGTAGGCACCAGGTCGCCTCTCCCCCAGAGCACCCGGGCTAAGGGGTGTCTGGGACGGTGTCACGTGCAGGTTTCCTCATGGTGTGGGCTCAGAGTTCTGCATGCTTCGCTCAGCTTTGGAGGCTGCTTCGCAGTAACATCTTGCTGCTGCAGGGCGATGGGCCCCCATCCCTTCGGCCAGCACCGTGTTTAGCTTCCACTGATGCACACAGCACTGTGTGCCCTGGCAGGATCAGGCCTTGAGGGTTCCCGCAGAGCCTTGTATGGGATCGTCCCAATGAGTCTCAACGAAGGGGCTAATTCGACAAGCCTCTAAATCCCCAAAAGCACAAGTTCTCTGCTTCCCAACATGGCGTCAGTGGAGGAGCCCAGCTCAGCATGTTTACCAGCAGACCCTGCGGACAGCCGCAGCAGGGAAAGCATCTATCACCCCTGACAGGCTGCGGGGCCCAGATCAATGTTCCCTTTCATCTTTCCCATCCATGAGTGGAATAATTTTTTTTGCGTGCACCAAGGCATGTACACCACCTGTAGAAAAACAAACCCAGCGGGGGGGCGCTCTGCTAATATGCTGGGCAGCATTGGAATCTCTTCTGGACAGCCTCACAAGCTGGTAACAACGGCCCAGGTCGCAGGGATCCAAAGATCTACGATCTGTACCTACAGCCTTCTGCCATCAGAGTAAAATCTATGAAGCTCCTTTGCATCAGCTGAGATCTGTTCCCCCAGGGATCAAATGTGGCATCCATCCTAGGCACATGCACGGGTCTAGCAGAAGAGTCCCACGCAATGGTCCTGTAGGCCTCAAGGCTGAGGGACTAACAGGAGATCCAAACCAGAGAGAAGTCTGCAGGGGCAAAGCAGCACGATGGATTTAACCTTCCATTTTATGAGGGGAACACCCAGATTTGTGGCAGGGAAGAACAATACAATATCCAGTGACATCAAACACGTCGGGGAGACAATAAGCTGTAAATTACCATAATCAGAAACGAAGTTTTTCAGCAGCCAGCTGTGTTACCTCAGGAGGGAGCCAACTCCTCCTCCGTCTGGCTGCTCTCGGCTTCACCCCAGGTCTCCCGCCTTCCCCTTGTGACGTTCCCTCGACGCCCGGGCCTCTTTCCAGTGGGTCCACCTGCGAAGGACAGCTCCTTTCTTGGAGAGCCACACCCATACCCAGACACCCTGCCCCGACAGGCAACCTCTGTGCCCTGCGTGGAGAGCTCCTCGCATTCCACCCTTCATTGTCCAGCTTCCTCTGTAACTCCCCTTGTCACCCAACCCTGCCTCTTTCCTCCTCCTTCTCTAACTGTCTTCCTGCTGCCCCCTTCAGGCCATTTTCCCCGGTTCGAGCTGCCCTCTCCTCTACTGTCTCTCCCCTCAAGGCAACGCTTTCTGTTGGGCCTCCCAGTGGCCTCAGGGCCAGAACTACTAAGTCTTGTAGCCACAGGTGCTAGTGACAGTCCCGCAGCCATAGGGTGGAAGGAGCAGAGGCATCCTTCACACCCGGCCCTGCCATGTGGCTAGGATTGAGGCTGGGGATAAGAGGGTGTTTAGTTCTGACGTGGTGCAACCTTGGCCCCTTTGCAGACAGCTGCAGAGGTAGCTCCTCAGGCTGTACACCTCATTTCCAAAGGCGGCGAGGCCTGAGAGGGTTGCAATGCAGGGTCACGTCCAGCCGAGGCGGGATTTGAACCAGTAACATAGAAGCGAGAGGCTCTGCAGCACAATCCCTCTTTGTTGCACGTGGGTGTTTGAACCCAGTCGGGCTCAATTACCGGCGTCCGCCCCAGCGATCCCCGCTCTTGCTTTCATTGTAATTGCAGTCGAGGGCCGGATTTTAAAGCGCACCGAAACCACGGCAAAGACTCTCAAAACAGTCCCTAACTCCGCCGACTTCAGTGAAGCTGCTGCAGAGAAGTGACACTCCCGTCAGATCTGGCGGGGAGCAAGTTCAAAAGCACAAAGCCCCTGGGAAGTAGCCGGAGAGATTCAGATTGGACCACGGCGCCGCCTCTGCAGCTCCCTCGTTTCCCACTCCCGTTGGCTCGTCTCTTCCTTCTTTCTCTCCCAGTTCCTGGTGAGTCACCGAGAGCTCTTATGCAATTGTGGGGAACTGTTATAAGTGCGGCGATACTGCCGAGAGAATGACACACGCCTGTGCCAAATGCTGCAGAGTTCAATGAGAATTACTCCCATCCATATTTATAGCGCGGGCCTCTGAATGAAAACTCTTCCAGCAGGGATGCATGGCGCACCGAGAGAACAATGAGGTCTGCTAATGAACACCCGGCTCAAAAAAAAGCAACCCTGCCACAACCACATGTACCGTTCTGCCTAGTTCATAGAAACCATCTGATCTCGTCGGGGTAGTGCTTGGGAAAGAAAAAAAATAGATAGAGATGTATCTTGGTTGCAAAAATAAACCGCTGGCCTACGCTCCCACTGCTAATGTTCATTATAAGTACAGCACGCGTCGGGCTTGGCTGGGATTGATTCTCCGAGCAATCATTAATTCATAAGCACAATCATTGATTTTTTTTTTCACGGGTTCTCATGAATGCGTTATCACCAGAGCCGTGTCATTGGCTGGCAGTCCTGGGCCTGTTTGACTATCTGCAATGGGACCTGGTCCAGCTGTCTGCGTATTCACTTCCCTGCTTCCCGCAGCCTCCCACTGTCGCTCTCCCGGGGTCTGTCCATTGTTCTGCCTACTTCTCTTGCTACACTCACCCCATGGATCGCTTCCTCTGCTCCCCTGGTCTTTGTGCTGCCTTTCTATCCTGGAGCATCACCTCACCCTAGTGGAGGTTCCACCACACCTCATATAACAGGGCAAAGACTGATCTTCAAATTGCTCCCCTCCCACCCCTACCTTCTCCCAGCTCTGGCAGAAAACTCCAGTCTCCATCACTCAACATCATCACCTCGGGGACATCTTGGGCTCCTCCCTTTCCTTCTCTCCCCTCCCCATCCAAGTTCTCCCTTCTCCGCCTTCCTCTCTATCTTCACAGCCAAATCTTTGCTCCATGCTAGGGAACCATGTGTTGTCCCCGGTCTAGGAACCTCACTCTTTCACCTCTGTGGTTTTATCAGCGCGCCTCTATGCCTCCTGGTTTCAAACAAAGAGAGCTCTGCGCTTCACATCAGGAGACTTGGGACTTTTCCGCTTGGGAAAGAGATGACTTCGGCGGGATGGGACATATCTGTAAAATCATGACCAGTGTGGAGACAGTGAATAAGGAAGAGTTATTTACTTCTCATAACACACGAATTAATAGGCAGCAGGTTTAAGAGAAACAAACACAAAACTATTTCTTCACCCAACACAGTCAGCCTGTGGAACTCCTTGCCAGAGGATGTTGTGAAGACTATAACAGGGTTCAAAAAAGAGCTAGATCCTTGGGGAAGGGATGCCTTTTGGCACAGAACATCTGTGCCCTGTACCAAGCTGGAGTGAGTTGTGGACGGGAAGGGGGAAGGAGAGGCATGTAGCGATGTGCCGGTATGTGCGTGAGAGACAGCAGGCCAGATCCTCAGCGGGTGGCGGAGGGGCAAGGCTGACTTACGCCTGAAATCTAAACCTTGGGGCCAAAGGGCTCTGAAGCAAGCAGGGGCCCGACTTGTTCTGAGTCCCTCCACCTCTGAAATCCTAGTCCCTCCAGTGTGATTTCACAGGCTGCCGAGGTTTTCCTGGCTGGCCACCATTCACCCTCCTGCCCTCATGTGCCAGAGGCAGCGGGTATCATAGGCACTGCCTCACCAAACCACCAGCCTGGTCTCCACCCAGATTCCCTCCCCAGAACACTTACTGTAGGCGTGTTGCTGCCCCTAGCACCCATCCTCCCTGTGCTCCGAGGCCAAGGAGGTGGGAGGGAAGGGGGGAACTTAGCTCTTCTGTGGGTGGGGCCTGGGCAGAAGGGGCAGGGCTGGGGACCCCTACCTTTCACTCATCACCCATGCCTTGTGCCATCACATTCCCTCCTTCCCACCTGGGCTCATTCCGTCTCCCCGTCCCAGTGTGAGATTTCCCTTCCTATGGGTTGGTAACACAGCACCTCGGCGTCTCTTCCCGGAAGAGAGCGAGCCAGCCAGCAGCCTGCGCACGTTGCCTTACGCATCAGTGCACTGACAGTGCAAGTCCTCCGAGATGCTGGTGGCCACCCCAGTAATGGCTAATGACAGAAAGAGGCAGGGAGATAAGGGACCAGCAGCTGACTCTGTGAAGGCCTCTCCCCCTCTGTGACTCAGTTTCCTCCTCAGCCAATAGGAGGTAATGGTGCTTACTTCCTCTTTGTTACATCTTTTTAGATCTCCTGATGATAAATGTTAACCAGCGTTACTCAGCTGCACAGATGGTCACTAGCATCCACAACACTTTTAGCAAGGGGTTCAGGTTTCTCCACTCATTGATGGATTGGGGGAAGATTGGGGTGGGGGGAGAAAAAGGCCCCTGGTGGCTGAGGGAAGGGGTTATGCGGGGAGGAAGGTTCTGGCAGCTGGGGGGAGAAAAAAGGTCCCTGGTGGTTGGGGAGGGGCTGGGGGAAGAAAAAAAAAACCCTGGCAGCTGGGGGGGAGGAGGGGAGAGAAAAGGCCCATTTCAGATGGAACCCCCCCACCCTGAGCCCCTCCTCACCCTCCAACCCTCACTCTTACACCCCATCCTCAGCCTCCTTTACTCCAACCTCCCATAATCCCAAGGCCCTGCCCTGAGTCCCGCACCTCTCCCCACTCTGCCAGCCCCCTGCCCTGAAGGACCTGGGGAACGCTGGGTAAATCTGCTAGGTCTAACTAACTTCCTAGCCCCATATTGCTGTGTGAAGTCAGTCAGCTGCTGCGCTCCCCCCCAGAAGTGGCTGCATTTCGCAGGTGGGCCAGGGATCCAGGCAGAACCAGCTGCTGCATTCCATCACAGCCGCGGTGACCCCCCCAGGGCCAGCCCACAACATTTTGGCACCTGAGGGGGGGAGCTCAAATGACACCCCCCCATACCCTCTCGCTTGGGCCAAAACTTTGAAAGGTCTCAATTCTGCCTCCTTCCTGTTCTACTCCTCTCATGGCCCTGCTCTGCTACCTACCTATGCACCAGCAGCAGACACAATTTTCTACACTCTGGGTCCTAGTGGTGCCCCCCCACAGTCTGGCACCTGAGGTGGCCACCTCAGTTTGCCTCATGGTAAGGCCAGCCCTGGGACCCCCTGCCAAACCAGCTGCTGTGCCCCACTCCAGAAGCGGCTGCACGGGGAGCATGATTTCTGAGGGTGTGTCTAGACTACAGGGTTTTTTCGAAAAAAATCGAAAGAATGCAGCAGTTTTTTCGACCACAGAAAACCTCGTTTTACGAGGAAGAACGCCTTTTTTTGAAAGTGCTCTTTCTAAAAAAGGCGCTATGGAATGCCAGCTGTGCTTTTTCGAAAGAGAGCATCCAGACAGCCTGGGTGCTCTCTTTCGGAAAAACGGCTCACTTTTTCGAAAGTACTGGTTGTAGTCTAGATGGTGTTTTTCGGAAGAGGCTTGCAGCCTAGATATCGCCTGAGTACCCAGCCTCCTGGCCCTTCCCAGTGCTGCATCTGGGATGCAGCATCCATCCTTTGCCTCCCAGGTCCATTTCTCTCCCTGCCTGGCTGGACCGTGTAGATGTTTATTACCCTCTCCAGCTGCAGCCCCTGTCTGTCTGCTCTCCAGCACCTTGGTGCGCGGCGAGCATGGCCCCAGAATGAGCTTTGCACCTCAGCCAGCAATTCATCTCTGGGAAGGTGAGGGTCAGGGGACGGCGGGAGTTGCCTGGCAGATGAGGGATGGTGTGTGCTCCGTGGGTTCTGCTCTGAATCATAAATACAGCCCTCTGGCTATGGCCATGGCCGTGGCCCCAGCAAGGCGGTGCCATAAAACACCGCCCACCCCTGAGGCAGGCTCTCTCACATCACCCGTCTCACAGGCAGACACCACAAGGCCGGGGGAGCAAGCGTAAAAATCTGCTCCCCATTGGGCGATGGGCAGAGAGCTTGACAAGCAGAGAGAAAAGCCCGGGGCTGCTCTGTGAGTGAGAGGAACTCCTCTCGGCATCGCCCGCAACCCAGCCCTTGCTCTGGACGGGCGGGGAGGGCGGTAGGAGCCGGAGAGGTGGAGGAGAGGAAGCCAGAACGCGCCATGTGCTATGTGCATTGACTATTAATGCGCAGGGCGGCCTGGCTGGCTCTCTGGGGATGCAGCGGGAGAGGATGTTTAGAAAAGCTGTCCACGGTCTACTGCAGTAAAACCCTCACTTATCCCATCCGCTAGGGAGGGGGACCCGGAAAGAGAGGGAGTCCTGACCCTCCTCTCTGCTCACTGGGCCACGGAGCCCTGCAAGGAGGGGGAGAAGAGAACGAGATAGGAGCATTTTGCTCCCCTCAGCCTTCTCCCTTTGAGTCCTGCCTCCCCATTACAGCCCCCTCCATTCGTTCTGTGGGCGTGTGTGATGGCTGGGTCTGTGCTGAAGGTGTTGGTAAGGACTCTGCTCACCCACAGCGCCCAGGACCCAAACGGCTCCGCTTGTATTGCGGAAGAGCACCAAGAGCAGGGCCACAGGGTGTTACTGCCAGTCTCACTAGCCAAGCTGGAGAAAGCACTAGAGAAGGTTGCCCAGCCGACGTGGGGCAGGTCTGAGAACAGAACGGGGGCTCTGACCCCCAGTTGAGTGCCCTACACACAGGACCCTGCTCCTTCTGGACATGGACGGATCAGCAGCTCTGTCGCCTTTTTGCAGGGGTGGGGAACTTTTTTTGGGGCAAGGGCTGCTGACCCACAGAACCCCTCTCCCCAACCCTCACTGACATGGCCCCTGACTGAGAGAGAAAAAGACAATCCCCACATTCCCTTCACACACCAGAGGCTAGGGAGGCCCAGTCTGGTAGATTTTTGTGGGCTCCCTTAGACTCTGGGGTGGGGCCAAAACTGAGGGGTTCAGTGTGTGGGAGGGGGTCGCTGGGAAGCAGGCTTGGGGTGCGGGGTCTGAGCGGGAGGGAGAGTGGAGGAGCGGGCTGGGAGGGGAGTCCGGAGCCTTGGGGGCCACAGCAGCCACTGGGCCTTAAATTCCCCTTGCATGGAATATTATGTCTGCCTCCCCGTCAGTCTGCCAGGCCCATGCAGTAACTGTGAGCGGTGAGGTGAGTGAGACACCAAATTCCCCTCCAGATCTCGCTGCCGCTCTGAATATTCCTAACACCGGAGAATGTTTGGATCCCAGGCGAAGGTCCGGGTCTCTCTTCTATGCCTAAATGTGAACTCCTGCCTAAGAGTCCTGACAATGTCCCCACGGCTGTGACAATCTACTGTTACAGAGACGTAGCTGGAGGAGCAGCAAGATCCCCGCGTTTTAGATGCCTCGGGATGCCCTCAGAATGACGGTTTCCTGGCCTGGCAGCTTGTCATCCTCACCGTGCACCCCCGAGCTGTTTTGACAAGCTCTGAGCAGCTCTCCACTGAAATGCAGCCATCTCTGGGGTGAACTGTGGCAGCTGGTTAAACAGAGCACAACAACACTCGACAACAGATTTTTTTTTTGGAAAGAGGAGGCAGCACACGCACTGCAGCCAACTGAAAGCAGCCGGGGAATGTTAGGTAGGCAGAAGGTAATTACTCAAATTGGAATTTGGGGTAATTATGCTCTGCTATGCTACAATTCTCCCGGAGGGGAAGCCTCTTCACAGAATCCCTATAACCTAGATTTATCAGTAGCAGAACACCGAGCCCTTCCTTGCTATCTGCAAGCTCAGACGTATTTCCCTAATCATAAATTAATTGGCGCGCCTTTTCTCAACCCTTCCCTACTCCCTCCCCCAATGTTTCATATCCTAGAAATCTCCACCCAGAGTGTGAGGTGTATTTTAAAATACTAAAATCAATCAGGACTGACAAACAGCATGTGTGGAGAAAGTAATAGGTACCATCCCTCTTGCCCCACGTTAAATATAGTCCCACACAGACACGCCAGCTGTCATGCTGCAAGCTGCTCTTGGGGACCCTGATTCCAACATCTACGGATGGCAGCTTCTTTGTAGACTTAATGAATCTTTTAATGAATTAGGATTAAAATCACCCCCCTCCCATGATTAGAGAGGCTGAGCTGGCAAATCAACATCCTTGCATGAGGGAGGCAGTGTGGTCTAATGGTTGGAACGTAGAGGGGTGGAGGCAGCTGCTGGGGATTATGGATAATTTGCAGTGCCACGAAGTGGGATGCGAATCCCATTGTGCTAAGTGCTGCACAAAATGGAGAATAAACAGAGGGCTGGCCCAACCCAGGGGACTTGCAGGCTTGAGACAAGTGTGTGTATAATCCTGGCTCAGCCAATCCATTGTGTGTATGGCTTGGGCAAGTCACTGGCTCATTCCTTGTTCTCCATGTGCAGCATGGGAGGTAGTGATAGGAACTTCTGCAGGTCCTCAGATGAAAGGTAGGGAAGGCCCTGATTCCCTTGCGCTTCTGTGCAGCAGAGCCTGAAACGGGCTGGGGAGGGCAGGGGGAAGCAGGAAGAAGCGCCGGCTGCTTAGTTCACCCAGTCCCGGGATGGATTTCTGCACTGCCGCGCCCGATGTCACAAGCAAGAAACCTGGCGAGCCCAGGGATCGATGCAGCTGTGAGGAGCGTTTTCCGACAGGCGCCCTACCTGCAGTGTTGGCTGGGCTTGCATGTGTACAACCTGCAAGTAATCCGTCGGGCCTTGGGGAGGCAGGGAAGAGGCAGCCTGTAAGGGGGCGCAAAGGGACGGGATGAGGCCCCATCCACATGCGAGCCAGCTTCCACCATAGCAACCTTGTCCTTAGTAGGGTTGCCAGAACCCGTCACAAAAAATCCCAAACATGGTGGGGGAAAAAATTGGTTGAGCAAAGAAAAAAGGGGGGGGGGGCGGGGGGGGACCAAAGCTGTTGAGCAAAAAAAAAAAAAAGTTACTGCTCCTTTAAATTCCACCGCTCCCCACTCTCGCCGCCCCCAGCAGACACGGCAGGGAAAAAATGTCACTGCCAGCCTTCCAGTCGAGAAAAACAGAAAATTTTTGTTTTTTTTGTTTTTTTTTAACCAGACAGAAGACGCAACTCCTATACTGTCTGGGCGAAAACTGGACACCTGGCAACCCTAGTGCGCCCTGGCAGCCTGGGAACCCTTATCAGCATGCTGGCT